CCTCTGACTGCGTACCAAACCTATCGTGAGATTCGTCAATTTACCTAGTCTCACCCCACCTTTGGCGCGGAGCTTAAAATCTTGCCTCCCCGAGTGTGTGTGTAACCCTTGGAATCACAGGGATCCTTTCGGATTGTTTTGTTTTTACTTTTGTCTTTTCGTTATGTAGCAGGGGGGCAATCCCACGTTGCAGTTGATTGCCCAACGAAGAGGGCTGCAATGTGGCTGATATCCGGAAGGGACCCTTCTGGACGTACCTGCTTGGTTATGGTGTTGACAAGCTTTCACTCCAATCTTCAAGTAAAGGGCTAATGAGTTCTGCAGATGTGCACGCTACGTCGTCACCTTGTCGTTCGCTCGATCGGTGTTTTTTCTTTTGGAGCTGCTGGCCACCTGCAACCTTTGGGACCTCCGCTAGATGGACCTCTACTTCCTTTCTAGGTCTCCTTACTTGTATCCTTAGGAAATGGAACCCTAGGCCGGCGTGTGGCACCGCTATCACGTCAGTACGCATATCCATAAGTGTGTGTAAAGATGAGTTGTCATCTGTGTGCGAATCTGAGTGAGATTTCAGGGGGGGGTCTGTGTGCGAATATGACTGGCGACTTCTTAGTTAGGAGCTAGGAGCTTGGTGGATGAAATTTAATATTTTTGGAGGTAGAACCTTTTTTCAAAAAATAATTCAAATTGTAAAATTGACCAGGAACACTTTTGGTATAGACCTTGAAGTCATTGTCATTGTCATTGTCCCTTGTTTTGAAAGTCTTTGTCATTGTTTTTAATAAACGTTGACAATGAGTTTCAACAGTGTGGTTTCAAATTCACTGCCACCGCCACTGCCACTGACAATGTCAATGTCAATGAGATGAACTGGCCAGGGCCTCAATATGCCTCAATCAATGACAAGGCTTGCAAGACTCAGGGACTAAACTCTTGACAATGACCATGGATGTTTTGTTTGGCAAGTCAACATAGAGACAAACATATGACAAACATATTCTCAGGTTGCAACTTGACACGCGTTGTTGCTGCAGTCACTGGAGGCCAGGCTCCCAGCAGCTGGCAACCTGCCACACAAAAAATGCCATCAGGGACTTCACCCAAACACTTGGGCCTTTACTGTGGGGGCTGTGTTTTGCTTTTTTAGTGTGGCAATCCTCTTTTCTGCTGGGGAGTCCTCCTTTCATGTCTGGGAGCCCTCTTTCTGTGGTTGGGTGTCCTCCAATCGTCCCCGGCTGTTCTCCTTTCCTCTTGGGCACACCTCCTACCAGCCAGTAAGCGATCTTTGACAAACTGCATTGGAGGACTGCCATTTTCCTCTTGCAACAGCTGTCATGCTCCCCGTGTGAAACAGCTGTCACCTACCGCACATACCATGCAAAGATTTTGCATGGTCAACTCCCAAAGAAACTTACATGACCCCATGTTTTCCGCTGTGACTATGGTGCACTTGGCTGGCACTACAGCTGGGTCACTCTCAGCAACAAAAGCCATTGTAGGTTTAACACCAGCGTTGTCCCATCTCCACTTCTTGCCACAGACCAAGTGTTTCAAAATGGCGTGGAGCGTGGCGTGCTTTTCTTGAAAGAAGCGGAACACCACAGCCGACGATTTCCTGTTGCAAGCGCAGGTAGTAGTTTCCTGGCAGCACTGGGGGAAACTGCAACGCAACACTCACAACAACAAAGGGAAAAACATGTCCAGAAACCAAGCGCAGACTGATCATTAGTGTCAAGCAAGCGTCAACAGTGGGCCGTTCAATCCCTGTGTCACACAGGAGTGGGGTGTAGCCAGGTAACCACCCTTCAGCGTGGCCACCAGCTTTGTCCTCTTGGGCAATGAGTCTGGACCTGGGTCAGGCGCAATAAAAAGGCCAGCGTTGACCCTCTTGGCAACAGGCTTGATGCCAGACTGTTGAAGCCACTGGAGCACCTTTGCATCACTATTGACTGCAGGGCCTGCAATTGTTTGACCTCTTTGATGGTCAGGCCATGACGATTTGCAGGGTTCGTGAACTCTGCCACTTTTTCCTGCTCCCTCAGGCGTTTGGCGTCATTCTCTTTCTCTTCTTCTGAAACTTTGCTACTCTCTTCAGGAAGGAGTTTGCGATGAGCTTTTTGGGCAAAATGTCCTGCTGGTAGGCCTCAATCATTTTTGCAAGTCGTTTCTCCCCTTGAAACGCTATCTCTTTGGAAGCCTTCTCTCCCAATTCCACTGGTGTAGGTTTCACTGTCTTACACGGCTCCTCTGCCATAAGTTTGTCAATTGAATCCCTCCTATGCCTCAAGAAAGCAGCTTCAGACGCCATCGCTTCAATCTTTTGTTTTTTGAAACATCAGCTCCACTGGTGTTGTCCAATCTGCGCTTTTTGTTGCGCCTTTTGCCTGTTGAACTTGCCCGTGGAATCCCAAACCACTGACCCCAAACTTCACGCGCTTGTTCTAAAACAGGCTTCACGTCTGATTCCAATGGCCGATCCAACAAGACTTTGGTCAAAGCATTCTCTTTGCATTCTGCCAAGTGTCTTTGCTGAGCATTGATGTCTTTTCTGGCTCTTCCAAACCCACGTTCAACAACTGTAGTTGAAGCACCCAAAGCCATGTACTCCAGCAACACAGTGTGCAATGCCTCATGCGTTTTCAATCTTCGCTTTAACCCTCCGCCAGGCTTCCTGGCAGGAGCAGCCATTATCTGTCATTTCCTCCACTGCCATTGGTTTGATGATGTCCAGCTCTTCATACAACATTTTGGCATCAATTGCGAAGAACTTGCCCAGGATCTCCACATACTCTTTGAACCTCTTCTTCACCTCCACAAAAGCTGAACGTGAAGTATTTCCACTGTGGCCTAATGGGTTCGTGATGTCAATGTCAAACACTTGAAACGCTGCCAGAAGCCTGAAGTTTGGAAATTCTGCGCAGCAAATTTCACGCGCCACAGCCAGCCACTCCCTCAGGTGCTTCAAACAAGACTGGAAAACTTGCTCGTCAACAGGACCAATGGTCTGGCCAGTGACTGGCACAACACGTGGCTTGCTCAAAGGCTCAACCGCAAACTCGGTGAAACCAACCGATCTGCCCTCCTCATTGTCAAAGAGCCGGCTGCACCTTGAATGCCAGCAATTCACCTCCCGAGGAAGCAATGATATGTCAACCACATTCTCATCACCAAATCGCAAAAGTGCCATTGTTTCCTGCGCAGCATCAGCCATCATGGCTTTGAGGAGCAATCGTTCTGTGCTTTGAACCTTCAAGTAAGCAAGCGCGTTCTTACCTTTTGCGTTCCCTTTCCTGCTGTGGTATATGAACCCAGCAGTCAAAAACAATCTGTCAAACCTCAACACACTGCGCATCAAAGGTCTCTGCAAGCTTGCAAACCTGTGCTTTGCTGCGCCCAACGATGCGATTTTCAAGGATGAAGGCCCTTCAGACTGTGAATTCAGCCCTTGAAAGTGATCTTTGAACACCTTGGAATGCTCAACCATTTGCGTCACGGAGGTCTTTAATTGCACATCCTCCTTCAAAATAGTCTTCAAAGCTGGCACTGCGTAAAAACCACGTTTGAGGATCCTTGATGTCGCATGGCTGCGGTCATGTGTGACCGTCTTCAAACTTGGAAACAAACGTTCCTTGGAGCCTGGCTTGGTTTGCTCCATCATTTGCTGGACCGAGAGCTGCTCATCTGCTGCAGCATCAATGATCATCTGCCTCTGGATCTTTGCAAAGTGTTCGCATAGGGATTGATCCATGGAAGGGGCCTGAACAGTCACCTTCTGCTTCTGACCCTGTAGCTGAAACTGGGACACACCATAGCACGGAGTTGCAAGTTGCTGCACCAAGTCCCATGTTGCAGAGGTGATTGCTTTGGCCCCTGTCCGAAATCCTTTTTTGACACCAAGCACCCCACTTCTGGCATTGCAAATTTTTTGAAACCAATGAGAAGTACAGCAAAAGCCGTCCATTGGATTCATCACGTCGGATTGATCTCACAACTGCTTTCCGTGCAAATTCCCTATCCTTTGCATACAGTGCTTCAGAGAGGCAAAAAACCATTCGATAGATTTTGGCAGCCTTCATGTTGTCAATGTCCAGTGAACGGGGGGAAACCCCTTTCTGAAGCTCATCCCACACCCTCAGAAATTGAGATTCTGTAGGTGCACTGACGCCCACACTCTTTCCCATGAGCCCCTGCACATTGTTCTTGTGGAATTTGCTTTTGTGGTGTCTTCTCAAATTGGAAAATTTCAGGACGTCAACATCAAAGGATCTAAAGGCCCTGGCCTGAGTGTCATTGAAATGTGCACAAACCTGGCACCCTGCTTTCCAGGTGCCTTTGCGTTTCTTTTGGAATCCAAGCCAGGTTGCGCTCAGCAAGAGTTTCTTTTCTGGAGTCTGAGGCAAGTTTCTGATCCATTCATGGCTGCGCTTCTTTGTCACCTGCAGCTTTGGTTGCCACTTGCGACGCCATATGTTCCATTTTGCCACAATGGAAGAGCTTTGCATGGCAAAGCCAGTGTGCAAAATTAGACTATATAAGATGTTTTTTGCTTTCTGTATGACAATGATTTTGCATGCTTACGTTGATGTAACTTGGAGATAGTTATTGCATCAACAGTCAACACTACATCATTTCTTGAAGTACTTTAGTTTGAGCACTGTACACTGAGGACAATGAACGTGCACTATGACAATGAACGTCAATGGGTCCCTCAAGGCAAGCCTGCAATGTCAAGTCAATGGCATGTGACTTGCCATAATAAGTTATTAGGGGCTGACACTGCTTTTGGCTCAAGCCACACTGAAGAACACTGTCAATGATCCAACTGCAATGCCTGCCTGTGCTTCATCATCCAAAAGGAGACCAGGACGTCCTGCTGCAGGCATGAAAGTAATGAAGTCAGCACGAAAAGAGAAGAAAAAACAAGAGGGGCAGCAGACTCGCTTGTGGGGGGTGCATGGACGGCATGGATTGAACACTTGCAGCGTATTGTTTTTGCAGTGATGGGCCATTGTCTGTGCGCCAGAGTGACGGAAATTATGAAACTTACCTTGGCAAACATTGACTTTGAGAATGGCATGGTCCACATTGACCGTCTCAAGAAACAGGCATCAACTGACAAACCTATGCTGACAGCACTGTTTGAGAAGCTCAATGAATGGAAGGAAAATTGTGGATTGACAATCACACGCACCCGGAAATGTGGCAGCAGGGGCCTGGTGACCTTCCAGGACACGTGGACCTGGCCCACAGCATCTCTTCCAGATCTCTTTCCAGCAGTTCGCAGTGATTGCAAGGGAAAGATCATGAACAAGGACTGCTTTGTTGCATTTCCCTGCTTTTTCTGATGTCTACATTTAATGTGTTTCTATATGTTTCTATTCATTGTTTCTGCTAGGACACTGTCTCTGCAGCTATAAGACGGGCCAGGAAGACCTTTGTCCCACCTAATGTTGGTGAAGTCAAGGTGGCCCACATCAGGTTCCACAGCGGAAGACATCGGGCAATCAATGACCTCAAGATGCACAATGTCAAAAACAGAGGTTGGTAAACGCTTTGCCAGAATCTCCTCCGAAGCAGTGTGGAAAGGGTATGGAAAGCTGGCAGTGAAGCAAGCAGCTGATGAACTACGCAGCAACCAAAAAGTTGCAAGAACATTGGCAAGAAATCTACAACTCAAAGTAGATCAAGATTGCGTATGAACTTTCCTTGACTTTGGTTGAATTGAGCTAAAACACAGCTCTTTGCATGCGCTGACTGCAAAAATGTTTCCCCTGATGCGTCCCCAGTGCACAATCCTAATTGAAAGGATTGTGAGACCTGACTTCCCATGGGTCTTCTGCCCCTGGGTACAAACCACTTTGCCTCAAAACTCTGCACAGCAGGCGCTCCAGTACATTCTGTGACATGGCATTACCAGCTGCTGCCCCACGCTGAGTTTTTGTGAACTTGGCCTTCAACACAGTGTTTTTTTAAGCCGGATACCCTGGAGCCTCAACGATTCCTTTACAGTGAGGCGCCGCTGAAGCTTTGTCACGTAAAAGCCAGTCTTGCCCCTTGAAGCTGTAATGGTCGGGGCCTCATTCAGTTTTGCCAACTTCTTGTTGGGCCCACATGCAAAGACCAAGGCATGTGGAACACCAAGGCAGCGCAGTGCCCGACATGGGGTCTCAAGGCAACTGAAGTCAGTGCCCACTCTGACTGCCATGTGGCAGCAGCTGCGTGACAGGCTACACTTGAACCCTTGGTTATTCAAACTCAAGTGAAACAACAGGACAGTGCAATGTACTGTGACCACTTCTACTTTTAAAACACATAAAAACATACATTGAGGACACCACCATTTTTTCTCCCTCAGAACAGTCAATGACATCACAGCCAGAAGGTCAAAGCAAACAGTGCTGAAAAATAGTTGTGATACTCCGTGCTTCCCTTGCCAGTTTCCACAAACTGCTGTGTGTTTTCGTTATGTTAGTTGCAGTGAATTTGAAACATGCAAAACTGATGAAGCTGACATTGTTCTGGAGCCGTTGCACTGACACAACTTTAGAGCCTGCTACTCTTGACACTGACCGTGTTTCAGAAATTGACATTGAACAGTGACCGAAAATTGGAGGAGACAGCGCTTCACATGGAGTCACCAGAGCCCTCGTCTTCCTCTGCATCGTCATCCTCGTCCTCCTCATCCTCGTCGTTGTCTTCTTCCTCCCCTTCATCCTCTTCCTGGCCTTCCGCTGCATCCTTCTTTGCTTTTTTCTTAGGCTTGCCCTTTGGTTTTGCCTTCGCCTTTGGTTTCGCCTTGGCCTTTGTCTTGGCATTTGCACGGGTGCGCTTCTGGCCTTTCTTCTTTTGGTCTTTCTCCTCTTCTTCCTCTTCTCCTGAATCCACAAGCATGGTGTCATCTCCGCCCGTGAAGTTTGGCTGAAAATGCATAGAAGCCCATCACATACTTGGTCAACTCCTCTCGCAAAAAGTTCACGTGTTCATCGCTGCAACAAATACCCACATAGCTCTTTCTCATTGCCAAGGCTGCCTTTGCTGCATTGCCATCTCCTGACGTTGAAAGGTCAAACAACATCACAACCCTGCTACTAGATGTTAAATTAACAAAACTTGTTTCAACAACCTAGCCTGCTGCCAAGTCATAGATTCCCCTACAGCAGTATGAAGAGTACACCTCACGGTAGAATGGAATTGGCAATGACCAAAATGCCACCGGCTCCATGTTGTCGTTGCTGCGGTTCTTGGGGATGTGGAGGTGCCCAGAGGGGTCAATGGCCATTGGAATGATTGCGCTGGTGTTGGATTCATCAACCTCCTCCTCCTCACCACCATCATCATCAACTGATGCGCCACCAACCGCCACACGGGCTTTGCCGTACAATGCCTTCTTGTCTCCAAAGGAAAGTTTCCAGCACCTTCCCACTTTGGAAGTTTCACCCAAGCAAGAATGTTGCCGCGGTTGCTTCCTTGGTAGTGTGACCTTTTCTTCTCAGGAACTGCAAACTGCCCTGATGTCATCAAGGACAAACATTCACTTTGCTCCACAGTTGCCACACCTCGGACCCGCATCTTTCGAGCAGCCACACTTTCCTCACTGTATGCGACCATGACCTGTTTCTTGGAAACTTTTCCACACAATTGCTTCACTACAGCATTCATGCGTGCCTGAACTCCTGGTTTGCCATTGTCCAAAAACATCAGAATCTGCGGTGACTGATCCACGTGCCTTCAGCACTGCGCCCAGCAACTTTGTCATTCTCTTCTTGTTGAATGGCGGGGTTCTGAGATGAGGTGCTGTGATTGGCTCTCCTGATTGTTTTTTGTCAACCAGCACTGCAATGTAGTCGCTGCCTGGTGTGCCATGTGTGTCCTGCAAGGCAGTTTTTCCCAAGATCTGTGTCAGCTTCTGTTCTGACTCAGGCTCTGCCACCAATTCACAGTGGCTTTGAACTGTTCTCTCAGCCAACTTGCGCCAGTACTGGTCCTGGCTTGGACTGGCCTCCTTCTCATCATCACCATTCTTTTTAGCCGCACTTTCATCAGGGCCATTTGCCTTGCTGGCCATGGGGTCCTTGCCATCGCCTGAAGTTTGCGCTGAACCATTCTCTTCATCAGCACCTGCCAGGCCCCACCAATGTGATTGGAGGAAAAACATTAGTTAAAACTAAAACACTGAAAACTAACAACAAGGTCATTGTAGCTCCTTCCACAGCTTTGCTTTGGTTTTTCTCATCTTCAATGCTCGAACAATCTCTTGCGTGCGCTCATCCATAGTCTGGTATTCCATCACTTCTTCAGGTGTTCTCCGTGCTTTTGCAGCGCCTCGAAGTATTTGAGTCCTGTGATGGAAGAACAGCTGAAGTTGCCACCAGCTGAAACAAAGAAGGGAAACACCAACTAATCCAAGATGCGTATGAGATGCCATAGATCACGACCTCAATGAGCTGAAGATAGAGGTCCATGGATCTACCCCACTCCTTTTTCCAAGTCATTGGCCCAGCATGGGGGCAAACATGCTCTCGCCACTGGACTGGAAACATCACCTTGTCATGAAGTACTGCAAGAACCTCACCACTGCATCCTTGAGATGGCAACCATGTGTTGGTCAAGCGCTGCAGGACTCGTAGCTTCAAGAGCAGTACATCAATGTAACCAATTTTGCTTGCATCTCCAAGAGAAAACCTCACTGTGAAAGCGCTGGTCTCAATCTGCTCTGTGAGAACAGCGTGTTCTATGGATTGAAATACCCACACTAGTTCCTTGGCACGGCATTTGCTGATCACACCACAGATCTTTGCCACACTATTGAAAGGTGACTGATGGCCCCAAAGGTTGTCACATCTTCGCAGCACAGCCTCAATCTCTGGCACTGACAAACCCCGTCTGGCAATGGTGAGTGCATCATCAATCATCCTCTCACCGCGAACCTCAGCCTTGCCCACTGAGCCACTGCTTGCTTTGCTCTGCACCACATGGTCTGCATACAATTTGGCAATCTTCTTTGCACTCAACCGCTCTCCATGTTTGTCTGACATGGCATCACTGAATGCAGCAATTTCATACACAGACTGAAACGCTGTCCGTTGGATGGTCGCAGCCTCTGTCACAACCTCCTCGCGAATGTTTGCGCATCGATAGTACATGTCTTCCTGCAAGGGATGCCACTACCAAGATGCGCAACTCCTTGTTTCCAACAAGGTTTAAAAACATGGACAAGAACATGATGGGAACCCATCCTCTGACACAAGCAAAGAGAAGCTAAAGGTGGCTTTCACTGCCATGTTTGCCCACTCTTTGATCACCTTGTCAGGGACCTTGGGCTCCGCGGTGATGTCACGGTGGATTGCCCACACAAATGAATGAAGCTTCTCTTCAGGTGTGACACTGCGCCAGCCCCCAAAAGGTTCAAAGTGCTTCACATCTGCAACAGCAATCTCAATGGGTGCGGCAAAGATCGCAGGCTTAGCAAATTGATGGTCCACCATCAATTGGATATTGGTGTGATTGAATGGTACTCCTCGCATGGTGGAAAAGAGAAGGTCAACCCAGAAAAAGTTTCCACTCGCTGTGTAGGAATGGGCCTTTGAGTTCAAAGCCTTCACCATTTCCTCCAGGTCAAACACTGCCAGTCCACCAGCACTGTCTGGCAGTCGATCAATGATGCCGTGAAAGGCTTTGTGGCCTTTGATGCAATCCAACGCCTTCTGGAATTCAATGAAGTAGTCATCATTGACTGTAGAAGGCGACGTTGACCCCATGGAGCCCTCAGCCCCACTCTTCCCCTTCTTCTTGGGCGGCATGTGTGAAACTTTGCTCGACAATGACACTGATCAAAAATGGTCACTGAACAAAAAACACATGTCAATGCCAACTGTCAATGGCAAAGGATTCCACCCCAATACACAGGACACAACAATCATCCCAATCCCAAAACACTTGACCACTGAGCCTCCTGACAGCAAGCATTGAGTGGCATTGGATTACAACCTTGACATTCGGCGACGGTGGTGAACGTTGTAACTCACCATTCGGCGACGGTGGTGAACGTTGTAACTCCCCATTCGGCGACGGTGGTGACCCTGGTGACTGTTGTAACTCACCATTCGGCGACGGTGGTGAATGTTGTAACTCTGCCAAAAACATTTAATAATTTAAAAGTTATAAATATTTTCACAAAAATATGGGAAACTGTTGTAAGCACCAGGTAGATTCTACCTGGTGCTTACAACACTCACCATCGGTGGTGAGTGTTGTAACCCCATATGGGAATCCCGCGTACTTGTGTGATGAACCAGCCTACAATCCCCAATGACGTTTGCAAGTGGATTCCCGTATGGGGTTACAACACTCACCACCGATGGTGAGTGTTGTAAGCACCAGGTAGAATCTACCTGGTGCTTACAACAGTTCCCCATATTTTTGTGAAAATATATTTTTTAAACAATATTAATGTTATTTAGTTCATTTTTGGCAGAGTTACAACGTTCACCACCGTCGCCGAATGGTGAGTTACAACGTTCACCACCGTCGCCGAATGGGGAGTTATGG